TGGAAATATGGCCAAAATTAGTCATGGAAAATAGATAGTTCTTCTCTGAGTTTTGTGGCAAGGTACGTCCAGTTGTCCATATGGTTTCTGCATTTAATCATTTTTTAGGGCCACTGTTCGTTTATCTAATTATTCTATTCAATCCTTGTTATGCCTATAGTATGTAGTGAAGAGAAAAGTGGTCGTCGGTATATGAGGTTGTGCGAGAATTGTGGCAAGGTCAAAGCAGGTAGAGCGTATACCTTGAAGTAAAAATTTCTATGTAATTCTTGTCATTATACCCTTTCAAACTTGCAAGGTTCTAATACATTAATATTTTGCCTTTTTGATATAGCTCTGCTAGTGCTGAAAATACTCGGTCGCTCCCTCTTTACTTATTACTTATTAGAGTTCTAATATATTCTCTTCTCAATGAATTGTCCTAATATACTGCGTTTGTTGGGGTAAATAATCGGATGAATGAGTACAATTTTCTTAATAAACCTTTTCAACTGGTTTTTTCTGCTTTTTCTACCCACTCTTATAATCTCAAACTAAGATTTTGTTAAAACCCTGGAGGAGAATCTTTGTGTGCAGAGGGAAAAAATTTTAGATTTACAATCTGTATGTTTGATAGGAAAGGTGGATAATAATGCAGATAAGTAGAGAACTAGACAAGCATTTGATGATTCATGTGGGGTTGTATGTGTTTTCCTTTATGTATCAAGTCCAATTGTATTTCTCACGTATTTGGTTGAGCTACGTGTATTTTTCTGCTTGAAATCTCAGTCTAGTTCGGGTATTTTTCTGTTTGAAATCTCAGACTGGTGCACCTTTGGCTTTGGAGATCGATAGCTTTGGCAGGCTAGCAGCAGATTCTTTAGCACTCACCACTCATGCTTTCATTATGGAAAGAGATCAATAAGATACAAGAGACGTGATTTTTTTTGTGAAGATACAATCATTTAATATTATTATCAGTAGCATGGTGTGAATTTGTACTTAGTTATGTACTTATATAGAGTGTTTATCGAATAACATGATATTTGTGTGCACTTTATTTATTTGCTACTCCTGTACTAACGGTTAATAATATTTGGTTTAATATCATCTTAGGTGTTGATGTTTTATTGATATTGAATTGTATTATATGAAGTAAACGGCAGTCATTAAAAAATGGTACAGTTTACGAGCATGAAAACATTTTAATATGGGTCTGTTTAACTCCACATAGAAGCTATATAATGAGAGAGTATTTGCTGCGGATTTGAATGCCATTTGCTGCGGTTCAGAACCGCAGCAATAAGCAAAAATTCATTTTTTTGAAATAGCTATTTGCTGCGGTTCCGAACCGCAGCAAATACGTTTTCCTACTATTTGCTGCCCTGCCAATTGCTGCGGTTCAAAACCGCAGCAAATAGCTAAAAATAACCGCAACAAATAACTATTTTTCTAGTAGTGGAGGTTTATTCCTTCAATTCCGAAGGCCCAACACCTTCCTTTGGGGTTTGTAGGGAATGAGTTAGTGGATCGAATAATATATGAGAATGACACAAGCAAATAATGGTAGGCAAGCAGAATGTATAGCAAGTGGCCAAGTTCTTATTAAGAGATAATAATGAACAATTACAGCACACCCTACTGTCAGAGTGTCAGCCAAGGCCGAGCATCTAATCTGAGCTGGGAATACAAGGGAATATTTGTTAGAGCTAGTGAATACAAGTTCCAATCCCTAACTATGAAATAAATGTTACTACCTTCGTCCCTTAAAACTTTGCCAAATTTCCCCTTTTTGATATCCCACTAACTTTGCCACCTTCCCTTAATAAAGAATTTGTGGTTCCAGTTAATTCTCTCTCCTCTGCACAAACCACAATCACACAGTTTTTACTTAATTAATCTTCGTGTTGGTCAAACTTGGCAAAGTTTTTAGGGACGGAGGGAGTACTATTTATACTACCAAGGGATATGTCGTAGTGGTGATGCGAAGGCTCTTGAGTGGCTAGCTTCTCAACCATCAAATCTACTGCATTAAATGAATTTCCCGCCAATATCTTGCTTTCCCGTCAAAGGTCTTAGACGAGCGTACCCTGCCTTACTGATTCTAGGTCCAAGTAAGCACAAGGTCAGGCTCACTGCTCGACCGTGCTGACATTCTCTTCGAGGCTCTCGACTTCATCACCTTGCCCCATTGGAACAAATATACCCCTGAAGTTTATGCGGAAGTGCGTATATGTCCCTGAACTTTTAAAGGTGAAAAAATACCCCTCATGTTCTTATAAAGGAACAGAATTACCCACATTGACTTTAAATTGATAAAATAAATTTAAAAAAACACCACAAATAAATTATAAATTCGAAATTTAAAAATGACTTTTTTTTAAATGTACTTGTGTCCAATTCTCTCTTTTATTGTTTCTATATCACAATTTAATAGTGTTAGTATAAAATATTATTTCAAAATTTTACTATATATTTAAGATTTTTTCGAAAAAGTGTTAGCATACGTGTTGCAATTCAGGCAACAAAAAAATACGTGTTGCAATTTAAAATTAAAGAGTTAATATTTTAACATAATAATAATAAATATTATTTTTAAATTTTGAATTTATAATTTATTTTTGTTTTCTTTTAATTTATTTTATCTACATAAAGTCAATAAGGGTCAATTCGCCCTTTTATAAGAACATGAAGGGTATTTTGATACTTTTAAAAAGTTTAGGGGTATATATATGCATTTTAGGGTATATTTGCACCTTTTCCCATTAAACGTTGATAAAAAGCACAAATAAGACCATCATTGTTTTCTTTCGTAAATAAGAACCACCAATATTATGATACCCCTTATAATATTATTGATTTAGACTAAAGAAATTTTGCAGTTTTTATAAACTTATTGAAATACTATATCCTCCGCATTGCATTAGTTGCAACGTAACATTGGAACTTATATACTATTCATATATACTACTTTGACTACGTTTTATTTATTATTTTGTGCGAACTATTTTTTTTTTAAATATTGTTGAATTCGCCTCAATACTATGTTTCATAATATGATTTTTAATTATTTTTTAAAAATACAGAATTAACTATAATAATAATCAAAGTTGTATGTAATGTTGCAACTAAAAAAGAACAGATGAAATATTATTATTGTCAGTATGTTGTACATGTTAGTTTAGACAGAAAAGGGTTTTACAAAATTTTAACATTAGGCTTCTTTTATTTCACCATCCCTAGACCTTCAAACATACAAGGTTGATCATGTGCAAATTATAATTATTTGAGAAAAGAGGCAAATAAACCCTCCAACTATTTGCAACTCTGCAATCAGGCCCCTAAACTTGAAGAATTGCAAATACACCCCTAACTCATTGAAAATGATGCAATCAGGTCCTTTTTACCTGCTGATGCGGGTAATATTTCAATCAAATATATTGACCAAGATGTAGCATTATTGACCAAGAAAAAAGCCTATATAACACTCCTTTTTTGGGATATCTAATACTGCATCAGATTTTAAAGTTTGTTACATTTTCCTTTCATGGATGTATTTAAAATTTTACTATATTTTTCCTTTTTGATAAGTTTTTTCTTTAAAATATTACCATTACTTTTTTGACTCTTTATTCTCCCTTTCATACTTTTCAACCATCTCTCGTACTTTTTTTACAATATTTATTATCCCTATTATTGCATGCTTAAATGATACTCCGTATAGGTATGCTCATTTTAAAAAGGCCTACTAAAGTTGAAATTAATTTTTCCATGATCTCTATACCAACTATCTTGTAAAGTCTTCCTTTAAAAAAAAATTACTCCCTCCGGTTTTTAATAAACTTCACACTTTTCTTTTTGGGACGGTCTAAAATAAACTTCACACTTCCTCATTTCCTTTTTTGGCAAAGAAATCTACATCAAAACAGTGTCAAACAATGCCAAACAGTGTCTCAACAGTGCCAAACAGTGTCTCTACAGTGCCAAACAGTGTCAAACAGTGCCTCAACAGTGTATTCTACAGTAAAGTCAAATTTATTTCCTTATTTTGTGTGAAGTCAAACTGTGAAGATTAAAAAAAACTGGAGGTAGTATCTATTAAAGTCTTCTCACATAGTGTCATCGTTATTACGTAATACTCCTTTCGTATTTGAAAATTATCTACAATAGATTTGAGCATATCATTTAAGCATGCAATAATAGGGGTAATAAATATTGTAAAAAAAAGTACAAGAGATAGTTGAAAAGTATGAAAGAGAGAATAAAAAGTCAAAAAAGTAATGGTAATTGAGTATTTTTAAAGAAAAAACTTATCAAAAAGGAAAAATATAGTAAAATTTTAAATACATCCATGAAAGGAAAATGTAGTAAACTTTAAAATCTTATGCAGTATTAGATATCCCAAAAAAGGAGTGTTAGAAGTTGTTCTCTTCGTCTGATCTGAATATTTCTGATATGAATTTATTAAGTTCTGATTTGAATCTTTCTGATCTGATCTGACCTGATCTGATCTGAATCTTTCCCTGCTTTCTCTAATTATGATAGTATTTTTCATAAGGGGAAAATAAATAATATACCCCGAACTTTGCCTTAGTGTGAGCTCCCCACCCCGAACTTGTCCTAGTTTAAAAAATACCCCCAACTTTATTTGTTTAAATTTTTTGTACCATATTTTAATTAACAAATAATATTTCTCAAATTATAATATGTTAATTAGATTTAGTTGGCAAAAAAGATTAATTAACATATTTTTTGTACTTAAATTAGAGATTTTGAAGTTATTTAATCAATTCGAAAAGCACACATTAATTTGGGAATCACACATCTTTTTATGCCAACTAAATCTAATAAAAATATTGTAATTTGAGAAATATTATTTGTTTATTAAAATATGGTACAAAATATTAAATAAATAAAGTTGAGGGTATTTTTTAAACTATGACAAGTTCGGGGTGGGGAGCTCACACCAAGGCAAAGTTCGGGGTATATTATTTATTTTCCCCTTTTCATAATTGGATCTCGGAAAATATGCTTACGAAATTTAATTAAGACATGTCCTGGGAAGTAGTTCATGAGGCGGAGTTGGGAGTGAGACGTGTGTGTGTGTATAAAGTACGTATAGGGTGCAGGTGGGCATATGATAATTAAATGGGAGGTGGAGGTGTGGAGCAGCAAAAACGGCCTCACGCCGTAATGATTCCATACCCATACCAAGGCCACGTCACCCCCTTCGTCTACCTCGCCATCAAACTCGCCTCCACCGCCGGTTTCACCGTGACCTTCGTCAACACCCAGCACGTCCACTCCCAAATCTCCAAGTCCGGCGGCGGCGGCGGCGACTGGACATCCGGGCTGGACATCCGGTACGTCACCGTCTCGGACGGGTTCCCGTTGGGGTTTGACCGGTCGTTGAACCACGACCAGTTCAAGGAGGGCCTTCTCCACGTCTTCTCTGCGCACGTGGATGAGGTGGTCGGGGACCTGGCCCGCTCCGCCGACCCGCCGGTGACGTGCTTGATCGCCGACACCTTCTTCACCTGGACGTCCGTGATCGCCGGCAAGTACGACCTGGTGAATGTGTCGTTCTGGACGGAGCCGGCCCTGGTTTTGTGTCTCTACTATCACTTGGACTTGCTCCACAAAAATGGCCATTTCGCCGCTGCTCAACATCAAGGTTAGTTAGTACCTCACATGAGTACTATATTTAATTTAACTACTATACGGATCGGACTCATTACGTATTATATTAACCCCATCATATCATATACGAGTATAGCCTACTTTCATTTCGTTTCCCTAGGATCGACTTTCATATTTTGCAATACTTTCATTTTCAAATTCCCAATTCAATGCACTACTTTATTAACCACATTTCGAGATTAATACAAAATTAAAAGTTGATATTTTAAATGAGTAAATTTCAAATTTATTACTTTGTAGTAAATAAAATATGATCAAAGTAGAATACCAGATGATGTAAAGTTCAACTGTTTGCAATTATAGGAAATATAGTACTCGTACATGATAACAAAATGAAGAAGCAGTTGAGCTTTTTCAACAATATTACTAAAACAAAATTTATTTACACAAATAGAACTATTAGTTACTACAATATAATATCATGGTCATTTAAGTTTAAACATTGAACATAAGTTATTATAATTAAGTTACTACTATAGTAACTAGGCACATTTTTGTAAACAATATCGATTTTAATCATAAATATATAATTATTTCATGAAACATATAAAAACGATTTGATCATTTACATTTATAAAATATAAAAAACATGACTGTGTGAGTGGGTGAAGCACTTCAAAAAGTAAAATTCACATGTAGCACCAGTGAGTATTGAACCGGCGACCTATTTCTTTGCAAGAAAGCTTAGGTTTATCATTAGTACCACATAGACTAGAGAAGGTATTTGAGGTGAAGCCTATCATTATTACCCTGGTAATAAGTAATAACGTACGTCCGCCCCCGTGTGGAGTATAGATACTCCCCCCGTCCCGCTAAGATTGTCTCATTTTGTCTTTTCGGGAAGTCCCACTATGATTGTCTCATACCAAATTTGGTAAAATTTGTGTGATTTTAAATCATTCTTACTTTATTTTTACCTTTTTAATTCAATATCAACCAAATAAACTTACTTTTCTTAATAACCGTGCCACTTTCTTCCGTCCCAATGTTAGTGGGACGGAGGTACTATAAAAGAAAATCATAGAAATCTAGCGTTGCTTTTGATGGCAATGACAAAGGAGATTAGCCGCACGGATCGAGAGGGGCACCATATCTAGGATTTTCATCTATCTACTCTCACATAAAACTGATAAAAGGGTATATTGGTTATTAATATGGAGTCGACAAGTCATATTTAGGTGATATTATAAACATATAATCACGTGTTTTAGTTAATTTGTAATCATATTTAGATCAGTTACTAGACAAAATATGTACTTTGTATGAATTAAAGATTTGGACGTTATGTACCAGACACCCCACACGTGATATTCAGGGGCAAACCGTACTACAAACCTAGGGGATTACGGCCCCTCTAACAAAATTTATTTTTAGTATATATATATATATAAATAATTTTCGCCCTCAAAAAATATTTTGAACCCCTGACATGAATTTTCTGGATCCGCCCCTGGTGATATTATCGCTAGTTAAGGATGTTGGATCTACTTTTGAAAACTGCTTTCTTGTCCTTCAAAAACCATCACCAGATATTGGAGTGGGACCATAATTAGATATCCGAGTGCTCCAAATTGTTCATAAAAGGAGTTTTCTTTAGAAATTGGGGATTAGATTTTGAAAAACTGATGGTGATTAGCTTCAATTGAATCAATTCCAAACACCCCTAATTCATTTAATTTCCGCATGACGACACTGTGAATAGGGAGCTTTAGTTATTTTTACGTAGCCTAGCTAGTTTATTACTAACTCCGTCCCAAATTGATTTGCAAAATTCACTTTTCTTGGTCAAACAGTTTCATTTTATTCGTTTAATTAGGATGTCATTTTTTAATTATATTCTAATTTGGAGTTTACAACTTTGAAGAGATTTTAATGTGGTTTCTGAATATATAAATTTTAATTATCAAAAATTAAATTAATTATCGATACGGAATATTGACTTTTATTATTGATTGATAAAAAAATGTTGACTTTGAAAAACAATTTGGAACGGAGGGAGTAATACAAAAGGAGGTATCTTTATTAGCAGAAATGGACAAAATTAAATGAATGTAATTAGTTAATTTCTTTTGGGATCTATCCATCCATATATATAAAAAGAAGCAATTCAATTAGGTAGGGTGATGGTGTGGTGCATATATGCATGGCATTGGTAATCAGTCAACTTCATTCCGCATTAACGACGTGTGGGGCTCTAAGCCAGTAATTAATTAGGAGTACCCTACGTACCTTTTGCTACTTGCTGCTGCTGCCCGCCCGGTAGGTAGGTAGGTAGTGAATGCCATGCTCCGCAGCTCCGGGTAACTTCTCATCATTTGATTCATTTCTATTGCTTTGTTTGCAATCACTTGTGCTTAAATAAAAGCATTTTTGGGAAAAAGTGATTAGTAATAAAAGTTGATAGTGTTTGGTAAAATAAGTGCTTTTTGTGTAATAGAAAAAGTAAAAAGTAGATTCTACACGGAAGCCGAGAAAGTAAAAGTTGGTAGTGTTTGGTAAAATAAGTGTTTTTTCTTAAAAAAAAGCCAAAATCACTTTTCTTAAGTGATTTCAAACAAGCCCTAAGGAGTGGGTAGGTATAATAAGAGAGTGTTTGCAATAGCTTAAAAAAAGCATTTCTCAGCCTTTGGCTTAAAAAAACACTTATTTACCAAACACTACCAATTTTTATTTTTTCTCAGCTTGCGTGTGAAAAATGTTCTTCCCTTTTCTATTACACAAAAAACACTCATTTTACCAAACACTATCAACTTTTATCAACTTTTACTACTTATCACCTATTCTCAATCACTCCAAAAGTGTTTATTTTAAGTAGAAGCAGTTGCAAACACCCCTAAGAGCAGTATACTATCTATACACTTGGCCCACCCATCGAGTGGGCATCCAAATCCACATAGGTATGACTGAGTCTGGGGCGAGACATAAAACATACTCCGTATAATACTCACACCAACCAAATTTGATATAAGACCATCTTAATGGGATAATCGGAAACGAAAAAGTATAACAATCTTAATGGAACGTAGAATCTATATATTTGCTAGTGCATTATCTATTTGTGTGAATTCATTTTAACTTGAATGTACATAAAAGTTATCTCCAAATAATTACTCGTATAAAATAGATATATGTATATATATAGTAAATCAAAGTCACAATACAATCTAAACTTGAATAATTAATCCATTTATATAAATAAGTGAATAAATAAAATCCTAATATGAAAAGGGAATTGACATTTAACTTTTCATCAAGGTCAAATATTAATCTTATTGCGAGTAATATATTACAAAAATAAAGAACTTATGCTTTATTGTATGCGTACATGTGTGCATATATGTATGTAGGGGCAACACTATGGGGGAAGAGGGACAATACTTTATATGTATTTTTGAGAGAAACATAATACAAAATCATTTAAATAATTAAAAAATTCGAAATCCGAGCGGGCACAGCCCCAATGTATAAAAACATTAATGTATGTAACCAAATCTATTGTGTCATTGTGTGTACGATATAGAGTAATCTTCCGGTCAGTAATTTTCTGACCGGAGCGCCGTCCGGCCTCCTCCTTTTGGGGGCCTTCCCGGTGGTATTTTTTGCTCAATTTTTTGTGTATGTTCCTCATCAAGTCTAGTTCATCCATACCAAATTTCAGCAAAAAATTCAATCGGGAAGGTCGTCAAATGATTTTTGCAAGTTAACTAGTCCGGAATATGTATTTCCTTAATATGTGTGAAAAACAATGGAGAACTTGTTTGGGGGATGGATAGAGTATTTACTATGAAGCTAAGGTGTTTATAAGAATATTCTTTACGATGTTTTATGTATACAACTAATAGTCTCACGCAGGGGCGGAGCCAAGGGGGGTCAGGGTGGTCAGCCGACCCCGATGAAAGTTTGAAAGTATAGAGCTTTAAAATATCTTCGATTTGATATATTATGGACCCCGTAACTCATTACGAGTAAAAAGTTAAAACTTTTGGAAAATCAGCACTTTTTAAACGTAAAATAAGAAAAATTTGATGCATAATATTGATTATTTTTTCAAATTTTAAAATTAAAATATAATTAACTCATTACTTACATGACATGGTTCAGAAACAGAGCAAAGACAATCTATCTTATTGCTTATGAATGCCTATTTATCTAAACTACAAATGAAACATTCAACTTGGACATTGTCTCAAAACGATCTATCATTTTCATTTTATACATAATTGATTTTCGACTCCCTGACCCATTTTTCTGGCTCCGCCAGTGGTCTCACGTGAAAGTAATTCCTTTTTCGTTATAAATTTATAGAATAATAAAGTAGATCATGAAATTAAAATTTCACCCCATACATACAAAATTTGACCAATTATGTGATGAGAAGGGTATTGAACCCCATATGACTACTGCTTATTCTCCTCAACAAATTTTAAAATAGTGTTTCTGAGCGAAAAAACATGACCACTATGGAAATGGCAAAACGCTTGTTATTGAAAAACAAGGGAAAAACAACTTCCCAACAATTTCCGGGTGGAAGCACTGCCTATATTCTAACAGGTTTCCAACTAAGGATGTCATGGACATGTCACATTTTGAAGCATGAATAGGTCATAGATAAGCCAACAGTTAAACACCTAAGGGTGTTTGCCTCTGTGCTACATACATGTTTAGTCAGATAAAATGCATAAGTTGTAAGAGATATCTGATAGGGGCTTTTTTAAGGCTATAACAATTAGTCCAAAGGCCTTAGAGATTTCAAATTGAAAACTCAGAAGTTAACGATAAGTAGAGATGTTGATGTTGATGAAAACTAATTATGGGATTTGAAGGGAGACAAAGCGGAGAAGAGAGTGGTGTTATCTTTTTCTTAGAATCCTCAAGAAGAAGGATCTAAAGAACCAAATTTTCATCGAGTCCCCATTTGGTTGGAGGGTTTTGGAGGAGAGGGGAGGGAAGTGAGTGATTTGTGTGTGTTTGGTTCAAGGAAATAGGGGGAAGGGGACGAAAGTCAAACACTTCCGAAAATCCTCCATTTCCTCTCACTCTCAACCCCAAATCGGGGTATTTCGGAGGATACGTGTTGATAATCACACACTATTTATCTCCTATGTGAATAGACAAAATGTTGTACTTCGTAATATTAAAGGGTAAAAAAGATTTAAAAATTTTAAAAATTAAAAAATTAAAAAATTAAAAATTTAAAAAGTTAACAAAAATACCCTTGGGGTAATTGAAAAAAAAAATATAAAAAAATTAAATAAAAAAATTGAAAAGTTAAAATTTAAATTTTTAAATATTTTAAAATTTTAAAATTAAAATTTAAAATATTAAGAATTAAAAAATTATAAATTAAAAAAAAAATTAAAAGTAAAAAAATGCAAAACAAATTGAAAAGTTCAAAAATGAAAAATTTAAAAATTCAAAAATGAAATATTCTAAAATAAAAATTAAAAGTTTAAAGATCCCATACAGAGAAAATTAAAAATTACAAATTTAAAAAGAAAAAAATTAAAATTTCAAAAAATCTTCATATTTCCTCCTACCAAACACAAGTTTTTATCAAAATCCTTCTTTCCCTTTCCTTTTCCTTCCCTCCTTGACTCTCCCCTTCCCTCCACTCCTTTGAACCAAACAAGGCACTAGGGTATCAAATACCACTGAATCACCAGAAGTGATGGCTATTCTTCTACAAATTTAGAAAATGCAACAGGATCGAGAGGTAAGAGGCTCATCAATTATTTATACAATGATGATGTTCTTGCTTCAGTACATAAGTTTCCTTTGAATCGTGTTACCCTGTCGTTTATGAGCCCACAATCTTCATAGAAGATTCAAAACAACAAGAGTGGCCAAGTGCGATGAGGAGGAGCTGAAAATAATTGAGAAAACTCAGGCTTGAGAATTGACAGAAAGAAAAAAAAGCATAAAGATGTTATTGGTGTCAAATGGATCTCCCGAAAAGAGTCCAAGCTAGATGGTTCCATCCAGAAGGCTCGTCTTGTGGTAAAAGGGTATCCACGGCAATGTGTTTCACACCATAATGAAACTTTTGCTCCTTTTGCTAGAAATGATACAATAAGAGCTTTAATTGCTTTGGCTGCTTAGAACATATGAGTTATTTTCAGATGGATAATGAAATGTATGTCGAAGAGCCTGAAAGCTTTTGTATTAAAGTTCAAGTAGATAAGGTGTACAGACTATTGAAACTCTCTACGAGATGAAGCAAGCTCCTAGAGCTTGATATAGAAGAATTAATGAATATTTACTCTAACAAATCCAAGTGAACCACTACTGTATGTGCAACAAACAAAGTCAGATTTGATAATTCTTTCCCTTGATGTTAATGACTTAATTGTCCCTAGGAATAAACCGGCCATAACTGATAAATTTAAAAAGATGTTGGAAAAGAGTTGTAGTTGACAGACTTGGGTTTGTTGAATTTCTTCTTGGGTTTAGAAGTGAATTAGAATACAAATGGTACTTTTGTCTCCCAAAAGAAATATTTAGAAGCCATCCCAAAAAAGATTCAAATTGGACAAGTACAAGCAAGTCTTGACCCCTCTTTTGGTGAATGAGAAGTTTTCTAAAGAGGATTGAGCAAAGAAAGTTTATTCAAAAGTGTATAGAAGTCTCGCTGGGTGTTTATTATACTTGACTATGTCAAGACTTGATCTTATGTCTGCATCTAGTCTTATGTCTATATATATGTAAAGCCCTAGTGAAATTCATTATGTTGTTGCAAAAAGAGTATAATTGCGGTATATTCGAGGTTAGAATTCTATGCGTAAAGTCTATTTCAACTTATTTTTGTCCATATGATTACTATAGGGTGACTCTACGCATGAAATTTTGATCGTTATGAATGACTTTTTTGTTAAAAATTTGAATAAAATGTCAATTTGAAACATTTATGTATAGTTAAGGTACCGTTTTGATTCATTTAAGAGTTAAATTACCAAAATGCAACATTACCGATAGTTGAGGTACCATTTATGCATTTGACCCGTGGTACAACCCAACAAAGAACTTAAGACTAATAAGATCTATTGGCAGTGATTGGGGTGGATCTATTGATGGCATGAAAAGTGCATCTGGACACAGTTTTGCCTTGAGAGTCGAGTATTATCATACGAAGTAGTATTCAACAAGTGAAGTAGAATATACCGTATATGTTCGTTGCTATAGCAAACAAAATTGTGAATCAATTAATTTGGTAAAGGAAAACTTTTAAAAACATGGGAGAGAAGCAACACAATGCAACTGATATGTTTTGTGATAGTAAATCAGTTATTGCTATAGCAAAAAAATCCAGTAAACAATAAAAAGAACACAAAGCAAGGCTTTGCCTAAGCAAAGATTCGAAACCATCATGAGAATGAAACATAATTAACCTTTTATATGACTCGTTTACTTAGTCTCTTTTAATTAGAATAAATATGTTTTTTATAACTCCTTGGAGAGTGTATTAAAATAGGCATCCTTATGTATTTGTAATGCAGAGAGGAATTGCAAAGGAAAGGACATGATAGAGTACATACCGGGTGTGAAGGCAATAGAACCAAGGGACCTGATGTCATACCTTCAATCCACTGACACGTCGACGGTGATGCACCGAATCATTTCCAAGGCCTTCGCCGACGTCAAGAAAGCAGACATCATCATCTGCAACACCGTCCAAGAGCTCGAGCCCGACGCTGTGGGTGCCCTCAGCGCAGCCCAGCCCACCTACTCCATCGGCCCCGTTTTCCCCACAACCCCAATCACCACCAGCCTCCTCTTCCAGTCCGACTGCTCCCACTGGCTCGACTCCAAACCCCCCGCATCTGTCCTCTACGTTTCCTTCGGCAGCTACGCCCACACCAGCGAGGCTGACATCCTAGAGATCGCCCACGGCCTCATCCTCAGCGGGGCCCACTTCCTCTGGGTTCTTCGGCCCGACATCGTCAGCTCCGACCGACCCCTCCCCACCCGTTTCTTGACCGACCTCGGGAATAATAGCGCGGGTCGGGGCTTGGTCGTGCCCTGGTGCCGCCAGCCCGAGGTCCTCTCCCATCCCTCCGTCCGCGGATTCTTGACCCACTGTGGCTGGAACTCCATTCTCGAGAGCCTCTGGTGCGCCATACCCTTGCTCTGTTATCCCCTCGTCACTGACCAGTTCTCCAACCGAAAACTGCTTGTCAACGACTGGAAGGTCGGGGTCGATCTTTGCGCCTCATCTCCCATTGCCCGCCTCCAAATCGCCGACAGCATTCGCGCTTTTATGAGTGAGAGCTGTCATGTACAGTTGAAGAGGGCTGTCCTACGGTTGAAGGCCACCTTAGAGGATGCCCTTGCAACAGTTGCTCCTTCAGCTGCAGCAGGTTCCTCCACGGCAAACTTCAATGCTTTTGTTGAGGACGTTACCACTCGTTCCACCACCAAGTTGCAACTCCACCACGGGCGGCGGCCTAAGCCCAACAGTATCGACCACTGCTCCGGATCCTCTACTCAAGCAATCCCGGCCAATATCAGTCTTCACTTTGTACCGCCAATCATTACTGCATGCACTTCACAACCACGGCCCAGATAGCTACTTCACTCATGCATATATGCATACATTGAGTTATACCAACCGGGCCACTTTCTTACTTTACTCATATTACTTTAATTCTGATACGGGAAATATTAATAAATATATAGTACTAATAAAGTAGAGTCATTTCAATTGAGATTGATTTCTTCCTAAATTGCAATTGAGTCCAATTATTAGAATTGATGATTTTCAAATTTTGCCCTTAATTTTTTACAATTTAAAGTGAAGCGGAACATTTTTTTAGATAAAGCAGTACTCGTATTCCTATAATTTCTCAACGTCCAGATAAACATCATTATCATCATACAATGATATTTTCAATATTAAAAAATAATTCGATTATTTGAACTACCGTAAACTACTCAATAAATCACTGCCGCAAAATTAAATTGATACAATATGAAATATCAAACTACACGGATACTTAATGAATTAAATAAGTATCACGTACTATCATTGTATTTTTTTTTTTTAAAAGTATCACTATCATTTTTAGTGTCTAAATGATTTTGTTTTCATCATAAAAAAATAATTCAAAATTAAATACTCATCTAGCTACCTAAACTAAACTATGTAACGTATTATCTACTTCAATCAAATCAGATAACAAATTCACCTGCAGTAATCCTAAAGTACCTCAACATTATCGCCTATATAAATAAACTTCATTAGTAAAATAAAATAATTAGATAGCATTTATATCATTGTACACTATATTTATTCATGTATACTCATCATAATAGATTAAATACCATTTATAAGCCATTTATTGGGCCTAGACAGCAGTCCACATACGCTCAGTAGATAGCATTTATATCATTGTACACTATATTTATTCAATTTTTATCGTCTCTCACTATATTTATTCATGTATAACCCATTTATTAAACACCTCACGCCAGTAATCGCTACTATTAAAGAATGTATCACATAATTATATATAGACTTCGCCATATACAATGTCCAAACACATATTTTTGTTGAATAAAATGTATTTTTGTTGAAAAAAAAATGTCCAAACACATATTTGATTGGTTATCCATACTTATGTACATCATAAATTTCAATTGAGAATGTAGAACGACCATGATGCATCTCTACCTTTACAATATTATATTTCATTATTATCCAATTATTAGTATAATACAATGCAAATAGGTAGATTTCAACTTCAATATGTTTAGTAACAACAAATAATTGAGCATGAGAATTTTCTTTCTCATATGTAGTGTTTTTTTGTACTCCGTTAAGATATGCAGATTAATAAATGAGCGGAAGAATTTTCTCTCTCATACGTCGTACATGCTTTTATATAGGTATAAGATACTCCGTACTAGATACTAGATAAGTGGACTAATAATCGAGCAGGAGCATTTTTTCTTACATATGTAGTGCTTTTAGGTATGAAATAAAATAATCGAACTAATAATTGTGCGGGTGAATTTCGTCCCTCATATGTAGTCTTTTTAGGTATAATAACCGGATTAATAGTTGATCGGAGAAATTTTATCTCTCATATGTAGTGCTTTTAAGTATATAAGGTAAACGGACTAATAATTGAGCGGAAGAATTTTCTCTCTCATATGTAGCATTTTTAGGGTCTCTCATATGTAGTGCTTTTAGATATAATAACCGGATTAATAGTTGATCGAGGAAATTTTATCTCACATATGTAGAGCTTTTAAGTATAAGGTAAGCACACTAATAATTGAGGGAGAGAATTTTCTCACTCATATGTAGCACTTTTAGGTATAAGATAAGATAAGATAAGCCGATTAATAATGGAAAATTTGATATTATTAATCCCAATTATTCATGATCCGCTTTTAATAATCCCGATTATTTCCCCATAGTCCCAACTTTAGTCACCATTTTCTTTAAATAGTCCTATCACTGGGTGGCTTTAGTTATGACCGGAAAGAATAGATGCTTGCTCCTCTCAAGTATGTGAATATGGGGTGCATTTCTTCGTCTTCAGATCTTCAAAAGTGTCAGCATATTTCAATTTCCATGTGAAGCTTTCAAAGATCTTTCTGCTAACAATTCTACACTGAATGGTCTAAACAACTAAACCTAAGAAAGAGAGTCGCACCTAGAATTTTAACACATAGAAGAACCCTGTATAATCAATTATCCATTTGATTGGGATCTTTAATTAACCTATTTGTTTATCTGATATGATTTTTTTTCCCCAAATTAAAATCAATATGAGAACTTCCTAAGTAATTCTGAGCAAGAGAAGAGTTTACCGGCAAGAGAAGTGTGAGCAAGAGAAGAGTTCTCCATTAATTTGAAGCTCTCCATGTTGTTCGACAACAATGAGAAATTTAAACAGGAGAAGAAAAATGGATTGATAAGTGTCTCCTGCACTCTGCTTTACCTTCGAATGTCACTGTAGGTGCAAGGGGGTTTTCTCTGGCTATTAAGGGAGGGCCAAGAGGCAGGTTAGAGGAAAACCAGTGGTTTAAATGCGGGGGTATCCAGATGAATTAACCGGCTGGTAGGTTTAGATGTGGTGTTTACCGGCTGGATAGGTATTCAGTCCACAAGACTATTTAAAGAAAATAGTGGTCAAAGTTGGGACTATAGGGAAATAATCCATAACATGGATTATTAAAAGCGGATTGTGAATAGTTGGGATTAATAATATCAATTTTTCCATAAATAATTGAGAAGAATTTTTTTTCTTTCATACTCCCTCCGTCCAAAATTGTTGGCCAATGTTGACTTGCACGTGGATTAATAAAGTAAAAACTGTGTGGTTAAAATTTGTGCAGGGGAGAGAGAATTAACTTTAACCACATATTCCTTACTTTAAATGGAAATGACAAACCTTTTTTTGGACGGCCAAAAAAGGAAATTTGGCCAACCATTTTGGGACGGAGGGAGATGTAATAATGCTTTTACGTATAAGATAAGCGAGTCAATATTTGATTAATAATGGGGCGGGCAAATTCTCTTTTTTTATATGTAGTCTTTTCGGTATAAAGAAGATAAATGGACTAATAATTGAACGGAAAAATTTTCTCTCTCATACGTAGTGCTTTTACATATAAGACAAACGGACTAATAGTTGAGCAGGGGATTTTTTCTGTCATTTGAAGTGTTTTTAAGTATAAGAAGATAAGCGGACTAATAATTGAGTGAGTGAACTTTCTCTCTCATACGTAGTGCTTTTAGCTATATGAAGATAAACGCGCTTATAATTGAGCGAGATAATTTCCTTTCTCATATGTAGTGTTTTTAAGTATAAAACAAGATAGTCGGACTACAAATTGAGTGTAATAATTTCTCTCTCATATATAATGTTTTTAGATAATCCCTATGTTCTCTAATAGATGACCTTATAGCCTTTGGCACAAGATTTAAGAAGAAATTAATAGGGGTAAGATAAAAGGTGCAGTTGGTAGTGTGTAAAGGAAAAAGAAGGAAAGAGAATGAAAAAGTAAGAAAGAGAATAAGGGTACATAAGTATATTTATTGAAAGGGAGACATGTATTGGAGAACATCCCAAAATGGAAAGAGAGACATGTATTAGAGAACGGAGGGAGTATAAGATAAGCAGACTAATAATTTATCGGAAGAATTTATCCTCTCATATTTTTTCTCTCATGACCTTTTAAACTTATGAGAAGACATTTTCCTATAATTGTCACCTATGTTATGACAATCAATAAATATCAAGCTCTATCACTGGAAAAAATTGAAATATTCTTACCTAGACGCATTTTAGTCATATAAAGCTTCATATATGTGGTGTTGTTAAGGGTTTAGAAAACATGAACTAATGATTTTAATATATGATAAGAAAATAAAATCATCAGACATTATCATTAAAAGTTCTCTTTAAATTACTTTTTCTCTAACAATTAAGTTTAATATTTCATTATCCGTTACCAATATTTTTTTCATTATCAGTTACCAATAATAATAATAATAATAATAATAATAATAATAATAATAATAATAATGTAACAAATTCTAATGGATGATGTCAAATTTTTTTACTTTAGTTTTCTTTCACTTCGAATATTTGTTGTATGGATTTATAGTTTTTTATATTCATTTATTGTACTCCATTTTTTAAATGATGTTAAATTGTATTAAAAAACTTTTTTTTTATATTTAATCAAACCATGAATAAAAATATATATGGACCAACTGTTTTTTCTCGTGCGTATGCACGAGTACTGTTCTAGGGAAAGTCGATTTTCTACTCCTACGAACTCCTCCAGATGTCCTACGTGGTCTATTCGATGGAGCACATACCGATTCTTAAACACTTCTAAAAATATCAGGTGGTATAATATGATGTTCGCATTCACCTCACTTGCTGGAAGAGTTGACAAGACCATCAACACTGGTAGAGCTCTGTACGTGTTCAAAGTTCATGGACAATATTATCACCAGATTGGTAGTTTGATGCCTTTGTCTGAGTCTACTCTGAAGTTTGCGCAACTGTACATCAATGACACTGACAACGAAGTAATGAATTGGATGAATACAATAAAGTAATACTCTTTCAACACACTCTTTCTTATCACGGATACCTCTTCCGTCCCACTGACAATGTCCCCGTTCCTATTCACTTGGTCACGACAAATCATTCTTAATCTCTTACTTTATAATCAAAATTTTATCAAATTTGATTCTGGTTTTTGCGACTTTGTAAAGCTTCTAATTTAGTTTTAGAATATGTGTTTTTTTTCTAAAAATAATTTGGATGCGGACAAGTATCTGTTTGCTTTATTGTCATTCAAGCATCGTAAACCGCAATGTCCCATTCTTAGTGGGACAAAAGGAGTATAATTTAAATACTAATATATTTTTCCATAGGGCGTTTGATACTCAGAATGGTAAACAAAATGCGCTTAGTTCAATCCAAGACTAGATATGCATCATGAACTTGCAAAGACATGTCGCATGGAAAGAGATATATTCAGTAATGCTCCAGATGTAGAAGTGAGGACGAAGCTTATAAACAAACGTGACACTAACGGGAGAAGGTACAATCTGCCATGTGCCTTTTATTGTTAATGATTTTGAAGGAGAAATTAATCCCATGGACATCATAAGACAAACAAAAGAAAGAGTCCTGCAAAGGATCAATGAGGCACGCCCATCTTACCTGGCTTTGCAATATCCATTGTTATTCCCTTATGATGAGGATGGATATAGGCCAGACATCAAGTACATAAACACGGAGATGAGCATCGTTGGTAAAAGGGAAAAAATTAAGCATGCGTAAATTCTTCACATATAAGCTTCAATTAAGGGAATGTGAGTACAGTAGAATCCTTAAATCAAAGAGACTTCTTTAGCAGTTCATTATTGATGCTTATACAATGATTAAATCGGAAAGACTGTCATTTCTAAGAAACAATCAGGTGAAACTGAGATCTCATATATAGAAAGGTTTGGTAGATGCAGTTGTAAGGGGAGAAACAAATCCACATGCCTAAGGCAAATGAATAATACCACCTTCTTCATTTACCGGCGGAGCAAGGTTCATGATTCAGAACTATCAGCATGTGATGGCATTGTTCGTAAGTGTGGTAACCAGACCTTTTTTATAACTTTCACGTGTAACCCTAAATGGTCACAAGTAGAGAAGTGCCTTCAGGATGGAAACTTCAAATCTAAAGACAGACATGATATCATTGTGAGAATCTTTAAGATCAAGCTCAAACGTCTCATACAAGAACTCAAAGATAGGAAACTATTTAATTAGAGAACCTCAAGCACGAATGTTCTCTACAATGATGTCCTGGTTTTAAATAAATGTAAATATAACTGCATACTAATTCACTTTATTGGTAATGCAATTGTGTACACTATGTGCCCACATCGTCCTGTTTATACGCCCTGAGTACAAGTTGAGAGGCATTGATGGCATCGATAAGGTCATCTCATCTGAACTCATGATCCTCTCCAAGATGCAGAGTTGCATGAAGATGGGTATCCAGAGTATAGGAGAAGGAACATTGGCATAATGGTAAACAGAGGTGGAAATCTCGAATGAATTTCTAATCAAGGCGGAAGATAACTATCTCACAATTATCATCAATAGCACTTATCCTAACATGCAAGAACGCCTCAGCAATCCAACTTACCTGCAGTAAAGAGCGATACTTGCACCTACTTTAGACGTGGTTCGCCAAATAAATGACTACATACTATATTTGATCACTGGTTTGTATCGTGAGAGTGACATGTATACACTAGAATTTCTTAATTGACTCTCAATCCCGGGGCTGCCTCATCACGAATTGCATCTAAAGAATCATTCTCCCATTATGCTCTTTAGAAATATAGACCAACAAACATGATTATGCAACGGAACCAAGTTGATTCTCAACAAGCTAGAAAAACATGTGCTAGAGGCAAAGATCATCACTAAAAGAAATATGGGGGCCACTGTTCAAATTTTTAGAGTGCCGTTATTTCCATATGACGTAACACTATCTTTTAATTTTCAAATGAAGCAATTCTAAGTTATGGTATGCTTTGCGATGAGCATCAACAAGAGCCAATGTCAATCTATATCTCAGGTCAGACTATATCACAAGAAAAATGTCTTCCCGATCACTCATGGCCAATTATATGTTGCCATATCAAAAGTCAAGAACAAAGAAGGATTGAAGATTTTGATTCGTTCTAAGGATTAGGGATTTTCCTCCAATGTCACAAATGTTGTCTATAGAGAGTTTTTCCAGAATTTAGAATCATAGTCTTTCAATTTTTATGCCATTTAGTTATTCTAATGTGTTACGGATCCCAACTTCTTTATTCTTATATATTATATAATATTATATCGAATTAATACATATTTCAATGCTTTTGTCAATGAGATTTAAAACATTCATACGATATATATATATATATATATATATTTCACATATGCGCAAAATTATAAACCATATATTCCATATGGGAGTTGCACCCGGGGCAACGCCCGGGCACAAAACTAGTTGTGTACTATTTATAGTTTGTGATCAATAGTTTGAATTTTATTATTTATCGGATCTTTGACTATAGTAGATTCTGTCCATTTGTATTTTACAATCAACGAAAGAAATATGGTTTGATCTGATAAGATCATTTAACTCTGAAGTGGTATGATTTGATCCGATCTATTTTTTTGAAAAAAATTATGTTTAGAAACCGGTAAAAGTAAGAATCGAACCGTTATTATTGGTTCTGTTCCATAACAATTCTTTAATTTTTAGGTAGAAACTGAATTGATTTATTTAATTACACTAGTAAACTCACCCGTGCGATGCACGGTTTGAGAATTTTTCTTCAAATTTGTTAGTGTTCACTAATTCAAATTACACTATCAATTGAACAGAGTATCTATCTCCATGGAATATTGATATAACTTCAAACAATAAACAAAACACACTTATAATATATATTTGTTGAGGTTTTGTCCCGTAGATCCGAAAGCCCAACATAAACTTCGGATATTAAGGACGATGGATTCGGTATAAAAGTGAATAAAAGGTGTATGAACTAGCTATTTTTACGTGGAAACCCGGAAAGGGAGAAAACCACGGGACTTTTTAGGCTAACGTCCAAGCCCGCTCTTTCTCATTAATATGCTCCCATCACTCCTTTACATAATACAAAAGTTGAAGTCTCCATTAATGGAGCTTGAATAACTACTCTAATCTAAGGAAGAAGAAGTAATGCAGGAGAAGAGAACCAAAAAGAGGGATCCTTTCATCAGGAAGCCAACCTTCCTATTTATAGATGGGGGAGGGAGTAAGGGTTTTCTCCATGGGCCTTGTTGGGCCGGAATGGGCCGAGTAGGTCCCAACGGGCCGGTTGGCCTAAATGATCCTTGCTAACTGGGCCCTGTACCGGGGCGGTGTATTGGGCCTCTAAACAGTAGTAGGCCGGGGTAATATACCCAACACAAGTCCCCCAGTTTCTTGAGTAGTGAGCCTGTGAATCTGCTCGAGAAAGTATACTCTTGCTCACGTCCTTCCCTGAATCAGTGCTTGAATAGTCTTGGACGCAAGGCATGCATAAATGATGAACGAGGTGCAGTCCCTCGCTAGGCACGGCGGCGCTGAAAAGCCATCCGTTCGTGCTGTATAAAGCGGCGGTCGCCATCCCAGATCAAGGATGGACGAGTCCGACCGAGAGCCAGGCACGACGGTGCTGTGGAGACCGTGCGTGCTGCATAAGAGCGACGGTCGCCATCCCAGAGCAAGGATGGACGCGCCCGCCAGAAAGCCATGCACGACGGTGCTGTGGAGCCCGTACGTGCTGCATAAGAGCGACGGTCGCCATCCCAGAGCAAGGATGGACGGGCCCGCCAGAAAGCCATGCACGACGGTGCTGTGGAGCCCGTACGTGCTGCATAAGAGCGACGGTCGCCATCCCAGAGCAAGGATGGACGAGCCCGCCAGAAAGCCAGGCACGACGGTGCTGTGGAGCCCGAACGTGCTGCATAAGAGCGACGGTCGCCATCCCAGAGCAAGGATGGACGAGCCCGCCAGAAAGCCAGGCACGACGGTGCTGTGGAGCCCGTACGTGCTGCATAAAATAAGCGATCGTCATCCTAGATTAAGGATGGACCAACCTGACTCGGACAGACATGGACTTGACTCGACTCAAACAGACCTGGACTTGACTCAGACGGACATGGACTTGACTCGACTCAAACAGACCTGGACTTGACTCGAGACCACCGCGGGCCATCATGAATTCACATCACCTCCCAGCCAATTTATATCCCCCGTTCGCTCGCCTTCGCCGAACGGGTCGTTCTCCCCTAGTCGTTCCAAACAATAGTTCCATTCGCCCGTTCGTCCCACTAGAACGGTCTGATGTACAACGATGATCACGTCGTGCCGAGGTGGCTGATCGTAGAGCTACAGAAGCGGTCAGATCATCTGGATAATAGGTCATTTCTGCTATAAGTCAGCACCAGGGTTAAGGTGCAAGTTGTTCGGCTTATTTCCGATATTTGTTCGTAGTTTCCTGATCCGCAAGGCATCACCTCTTGCTGCCTGCTGCCTTGTAGGCCCAAGGCTGATGTAACTTGTTCGTGTTATCATCCGTGTTCTTCCTGATCCGCAAGGCAATCACCTCTTGCTGCAAGACAGTTTCACAATTTGTGTAGTGTCTGCCATCTTCCAAGCCCATAATTTCGATGCATACCGTCGGTTTTACCGTCCGGGGTCATCCATATCATGAGGTTGAGATGTCCATCCTGGACCATTGAGAATAAGGCTCCCAAGCCGGGTCTCCCCCTTATTCTCTGCCAAAATGGAGACTCGCCTTCAGGTTACAGCTCGGGTTCCACCACAATAAATTACTACATCGTGGTTCGGGCGAGCTGCATAGCCAAGGCAAGATTTTAAGACCAGAGTCCCGATCCCCCGCTCGGTCACCCTATGACTTCGGATGCCGCCCGGTTCGTCCTACTCAAGATCTTTTACACCATCTCCCAAGCTGAGTCCAGGCTTGGTTAACTTGCATCTTTTTTTTTTTTTTTTTTTTTGTGCTGAGATGGTGGCTCCCCATGGATCGAGACAAGTGGTATCTATCGATCGAGGTGAGACTTTATGGAATGTGAAGATGCCTCCTAAGCAAATAATGTCGTGCTGTGGGGCTGATCATGATATGAGAAACATGAATAAATCCAAGGGTCTTGCGAGCGCCCTCTGCTCAAGGACAACGGCAGCAACTGCGGCAGCGGTCCACAAAATGTAGCCATGCTGAAAGTCAAGCAACGGTCCTTATCCGCGCAGTGCGGGGACGAGGCCGGTCTTCAAAGAGGATAAACATGTCGTGCCGACAGGCCGATCGTGATATGCTGATGTCGGCAATGAGAAGCCAACCCGAAAGTCAAGCAACGGTCCTTATCCACGCAGTGCGGGGACGAGGCCGGTCTTCAAATATGATAATGGCACCGTACCAGAGGGTCGGTGGGCATGTAATGAGGTCGCCACTGGGGGCTGATCGGAAAGGAACTAGCAACGGTCCTTATCTGCGCAGTGCGGGGATAAGGCCGGTCTTCAAATGATCATCACGCCGAGCCAGGAAGATCGGTCGGTCGTGGTGAAAGGACAGTCAGCGCTGGGAGGCCGATCTGTAAATCCGAGGCCGTGGTGAAAGGACAGTCAGCGCCGAGCCATAATGTTGCTCTAGGTGCCGAACGGCGGAGGCCGGATTGCCAGTCAGGTAGCGTAATCTGAATGCTCATGTATCGTACAGTCCATATGACTTCTCTTCATGTGTTGTGACATCTACACATTTGTAGTCCCTTCTTTTCTCAATCGTCCATGATTCCTTCTACACACTAGTAACCTCACTCTGTTTTTTTTTTTTTTTTTTTTTTTTTTTTCTCTTTTTTTTTTTTTTCTCTCTTTTTTTTTTTTTTTTTTTTTTTTTTTTTTTGTAAACCTCCCCGTCCGAGCTGGTCGAACGGCTCTAAATGTAAATATTCCTTCTTTTTGTTGCCAATCATGAACGTCTTTGCGCTTCATGCTGAACGTCATAAACATCTCTCTGCTTCATGACTTCCCCGTTCGGGCTGACCGAACGCCTATGAATGTGATTCTTTTCTGCCGGTCATGAATGTCTCTGTGTTTCATGCCGAGCATCATAAATATCTTTGTGCTTCATGATTCCCCGTTCGAGCATATCGAACAAATTTTACTGCACAATAAGCATGGTAATGCGGCCGTACGGCCGAACAACATATACAAGTATATACACACATGTGTAACATTTCTTTTTTTTATTCTTTATTTTTCATCCATGACTATCGGCCGAAGCGGTAATGATAACCCTTGGCCTAGATTTATTTCTCCAATTGCCATAGTCCATGGCCAGAACCACCTAGTGATTTGTCGAGTATTCAAGTACGTATTTTGCCCCGTACTGGGTATAATTGCCGACCTGACATTTAATGCCGATCGGAACCATGAATGGTCCCTAAATTAAAACATGTCACCGGGCTACGCCCTTGCGAGACGGTTCAGTCAACTAGTTTGAACCGACACGCCCAGTCAAACCAATAATTAAAAATGTTGGTGATTTTATCAATAAAACTTCGTTCACCCTTATTCTGTTCGGGAACTTTAATCCCTAACACCTGTCATTAAAACTTAAAATGACGGTGTATATCTACCATTGGAGCTTTCCTCGACAATATTTAACTCGGGATATTCTTATCCCTACTAAACAAATAATGGCGATGTGTAATTAATAGTAATATTACTACATCATTTCATTCTAATATTTTCATGGATGTACCGCCAATGCCGAACGGGCCCATGAGTTATTTTCAATGTAAAATACGTCATCGAGGACACTTCAGCCAATTAATTTGGCCCGATCGGGGCGGACTGATACGCCCAATCAAACCAAGCATTTAATTAAGACGTTGGTGATCTTATATATATAGAGCCCCGGTCGGTATTATATTATTCAGGATATTTCAATCCCTATTAAATAATGGTGTTGTGCAATTAATAGTAAGAATACTATTTAATCAACCAATGAATGCTCTAATGAATGAGCACTTGGTGCGTTGTCGGAGAAATACCATTCAGGGGCACTCCGATCGCTTACTTTCAGCTGATCATGGATTGGCCGGTCGGCCAATTAAACCAATCATTTAATTTTAAATAATGGTGAAATTATCACCAGAGGTTATCTCCACCTTATTAATTTTGGGATGATTTTAACCCCTAATTACTAATGGCGATATAAGCAATTTTTAGCCATAAACATTTTAAAGTTGGAGCAGATGGTGAAAGAATAATGTCACTTAGCTGAAATAGGCTGAGTGTCAGCTGCCGGACCAAGTTATTGGCCCGGAGAATTTGACCGTCCAAAAATGGTTGAGCCCAACTAGTTGTAGTTTAGCCAGCCTGAGCCCCTCATTAAATTGGTCATACACTCCATCTCTTTAGGATTAGCCCCATAACCTGCTAAGTAGGTGATTCACCCGTCCGGTCTTTTCTTGTTGATCGGGCTTCCCAGAGCCTTTAAGCGAAGCATGCGTTTGGTGGAGCTTCCCAAAAGGACAGGTCCAGAATCGTCGCTGAATCGCGGAGGTGCCGATCGGGTACCTGCTTTAAACGAGTACCTAATCATGAGGGCACCTCTAGCTCCTCCAGTTGCTGAGCACAGCGGCAAGACCGAGCAGCCCGTTATGGCTAGCAGAAGCCGGACTGTGGTTGTGCCGGACGGAGATCTCGAACGATAAAGTCCCGAACGGAAGGTGGCCTGCCCACGGGATGCTGGAACCGATTTGAGCGACGACCGATCTGGGCATTATACCGAACGGGAGGTGGTCTTTCACACTGGTTGTCAATTTAGAAATTTTTTTCTTCGATCTGCTCAGAACACTCCAGTCTACTGGCCGCCAGATTGTAAAACTATGAAAGACCGAGCAGCAAACTCGTATTGGTGGCTAGGGGTCTTGGAGCAAGTAGGAATTTCCCCGAAGAAGGTTTGGCCGGACGTTCTCTGATCCGTTGGGCGACCCCAAGCGGCCAGCTTACCTCTGTCTCCATGTTTGAGCCTTGATGGGTTGGATCTTCTGATCGGGAGATACTGTTCGGTGAGTGAGAAGGCTGAGAAATGCCGTTCGGGAGAAAAGTGATGCTACTTGCTAACCTGCTGCCATTCCCGATAACAGAAGCTACTGATTGGATAGACATCCTCTCTTTGGTGGCCGTTCGGTAACCTTCCCCATAAGGAGGTTGCTGATCTTTGAACCTCCCTCTTTGGCTCGCATTACTGTGCCGATCGGGAATTACCGTTCAATAGGTAGGATGCAGTGGAGTAATCTGCCAGAGGGCAGAGGCGATAGCTACCTCCTTGTACACTTGAACCGTATCATGTGGTATTTCTTCGTTCGGGAGGTGCCGTTCGGCATACTACGCGGTTCATGTGGTGATGGCCTGGTTCTAGGGATTTCCTGTCCGGTGAAGGTGTTCGGGATACTGCAACACAGTGTGTCCGGTGAAGGTGTTCGGGATGCGGTGCACATTCCGTCCGGCATTCGGGATGTGGTGTATATCTTTTGGATAATGATGAATCTGTCAACTCACCTCCTAGTCTTGTTAACTTGTGCTATTGTCAGGCTTTGTCTTGAAATGTGGAACAATGGAATGGAACAATTTGCCCTTATCATTACTGCAATCAAGTAGGGATGAGGGCCCCACCTCCAGAATTCTTCATCCACCAACAGATGTTCAAGATCACCTCTTGGCCATGTGCTTCGACTTTAGGGATTGTTTTTAGGATGTGGCAGTAGCAATTTTGAGCAATGACCATGCTGCCAAAACGGGATCTGGAATTCGTTCTCTATTTTTGTTTTTCCAGAGTTCTTCTTTCTTTCTCCTTTGAAACCAGTAATTTCTTCATCTAAGAATTCAACAGAACCAAGAACAAACATGTTATGCTTTTTGATCGGTTCCCACAGACGGCGCCAATGTTGAGGTTTTGTCCCGTAGATCCGAAAGCCCAACATAAACTTCGGATATTAAGGACGATGGATTCGGTATAAAAGTGAATAAAAGGTGTATGAACTAGCTATTTTTACGTGGAAACCCGGAAAGGGAGAAAACCACGGGACTTTTTAGGCTAACGTCCAAGCCCGCTCTTTCTCATTAATATGCTCCCATCACTCCTTTACATAATACAAAAGTTGAAGTCTCCATTAATGGAGCTTGAATAACTACTCTAATCTAAGGAAGAAGAAGTAATGCAGGAGAAGAGAACCAAAAAGAGGGATCCTTTCATCAGGAAGCCAACCTTCCTATTTATAGATGGGGGAGGGAGTAAGGGTTTTCTCCATGGGCCTTGTTGGGCCGGAATGGGCCGAGTAGGTCCCAACGGGCCGGTTGGCCTAAATGATCCTTGCTAACTGGGCCCTGTACCGGGGCGGTGTATTGGGCCTCTAAACAGTAGTAGGCCGGGGTAATATACCCAACAATATTATAGTTAAAAAGAGAACACTAAACATTACTTAAAAGATAAAAAACATCCAACAAATACTTAGAAATCATAACATTGTAAATATACATTTCATGTAACCCTAAACATTGTTGAATTCTTTTTTAATACAACATTCTGATTCTTGTTCAGTGGTTCCTTCTTCTTCATCAATACCCGTGCGATGCACGATTGGTGAAATTCCGCGAGTATAATTAACATTAGCCAACATTTTAATTAAAAAAATAAACAAACTTGTAATTTTAATTGAATTGTTTAGAATTATACTACATACAATAATAAAACTTGACGTAAATGAAACATATAAATTGCTAGCTCCGTCCCGCTAGAAGGTTCTCATAGCAAAACGGCACAGTTATTTAAGTGATAATTAAATAAAGTACTTTGGGTATATTTTGAGAAATAATTTTAATAGGTATATATATTATAATGTGTTAGTATTGATAACTGTGATGTTATAAATGTATTATTTTTAATATTTGATGACTAATTTGTCACTTAAGATTGTTAATAGTTTCCTAAAATGGAAATGAGAACCTTCTAATGGGACGTCCAAAAAAAGGAAAGTGGGAACCTTCTAACGGGACGGAAGGAGTACAATTTACTAATGATTATAGAGTAGTACATTATTTTTTATAGCCCGCAAAATAGTAAGTAACTCACAATATAAACATCATTTGAAAACAAATTACATTCCATGGCGAATTTTATGAAACACTTTTTTGTACCTTCAGTCTAGCATTAACCCTTGTTAAAAGGGAAATTACACTAAATAGGACAAAAAAAGTTTAATGTATTCCAAAATTGGACCTTAAGCATGACAATA